TTAACACCCTAGCTCACCGTCATGCATCAAACAAAGCTTTTGAATCTGTCAAAACATCACTTTTATTTTTCAGAAATCATATTCATATTGTTCATAATTGATTGGTGTAAAAAAGTAGGATTTAACACTTCAAAAATCGGGTTTTCAAGACGTTTTCTGGTTCTGGACGGTACCCAGTACGGTACCTCGGTACCGTGTAACGGTACCTTGGTACCGACCGCCACCAATCAGCCACCGTAAGGATGGTAGTGAACGGTAGGTACCTACCATGGTTACGGTAGGTGGCTACCCTGCCGGCGGTAGCATGGTCCCGTTCTGTGCGTTAACTTTAAACAGTGTCATCTTCAACCTCGGGCCAAGTTTCGGAAATTCCATTTTTAGTCACCAAACTTCAATTAAACTATAGAGAAATGTTCTCCAATGTTCATAGATCATTTTGGTAACATTAGTTCGTAATTTTTACAACAATTTCAAAGTTTATTATTCTTGGTTTTTTAAACATGTTAAACACAAAACTCAACCAAACAACCATTTATGAACGTAGAAACGATCTATACGAACATTCTAGTCACTAGATATATCTACGGGCTTACCTCGGAGCTAAACAATGATTCTGGCGTTTGAACGGCGAAACTTCCTGTGACAATAACTCCTTGCTCCGGCGACTTCGACAATAACCAACAGCAGCAGTCTACTCTCCTCACACTCAGGATTATAATGAACTAAATTGCAGAAGGAATGGTGTAGTAATTGGGGAAATGAGTCTCCCTTATATAAGAGAAGAAGGAAGGAACAACCAAGCTGCAGCTGTGTCACCTTCTCCTGTTCGAACGAAGATAGTGGAGTGAACGGCGCATTTGGGGATTTACACGTCTGCCCCTGATTGGGACTAATTTGGTCCAAGTCAGGGTACACTTTTTGGTCCAACTTTCTCCGAATTGATTTCTTTTTGCATCGTTGCGATCAGACAGTCGAGCTTTATTCAATGATATAATTTATATATCTATTTGTAATACTTTTTCTGACATCATAATTTTTGGTGTTTGACTTTGACAGAGTCAAAATTGTTAGAATAAGTGACCAACGCTAGAGGGGGGGTGAATATCGTTTGATCATAGAAGTCGCAGGAATAAAAAAAATTAAGAACATGAAAAGTAAAGAGCGTAGAAAAAGTAAAGGGAGCACACCAAGATTTATACTGGTTCACCATAACGTGTGGCTAATCCAGTCTCCCGAGAGACTCTCCCGAGCTACACTACTTCCGTTAAGCTTACGGATGCTTAACAAACAGTTACAACTTGAGAACTCGAGTCCCACGGGCCTCAACAACACTTGCTCGGAGATACCACACTCCAAGACTTCAACCCGAAGGAAAAACACCTTTCCTTCGTACAACCAAGGGAAACAAACTTCCCTTAACGTCTATAAACACTAAGAACACTCAAAAACAAGGCTCTCTCAAAAGAGTGAATATGAGTAAAGTAATCCGCTCAAGATCACAACACGAACTTCACAAAAATAGCTCTCGAAAAGCTATGAATAATGTGTGAATGTAATGCAATGAAGAATAAGAATTGTGAAGTAATGTGATATGTAATCAGACCCAAACACCTCATTTTATAGTAGAAAAATAGGCTCCAACGGGTAGGAGTTGAATGGGGGTGATTGGCACAATTTGTGGGATTTGATCAAAATTGGATCTGCTGAAATTCATCTAGACAGCGCTGTCCATGGCTTGGACATCGCTGTTCTACGCTTAGTTTTTGAAAATTGGGAAGGAACGGTCAAGTCAACAACAATGTCCAAACACCCTACATCGCTGTTTTGGCTGTTGACTTCCAAACAAGGAAAGTTTTAGCCATAAATTCCTTCCAACGGTCAGGTGCCTACATCGATGTTCATTACTTGAACATCGCTGTTCAGGTCTGACTTTGAAGGTTGAGGAATTGGCCTGACATCCCTGTTGCTGGGTCAACAGCGCTGTCCAAAAACTTTCTTCCAAGGCATTTCTTTTTGGCTTAGGTTGGACAGCGATGTAGGGAAGTCTACATCGCTGTTCCAGATGTTTCTGGAAACCCAACCTTGGCACAACAGCGATGTCTAACAACCAACATCGCTCTTGGAAGACTTAACGCCAAACCATGGTTTTCAGCTGCTCATGCCGGACAGTGTTGTTGGTTACTCCAACATCGCTGTTGGGCTGGTTTAGCTAGACCCATGGTTGGTTATTCATGCCGTTAGCCGATGTCAAAAATCTAAGTTCTCCAAAGTAAAAACAAAGTATTGAAAACATTTGTTTAATGCATTTTGCTAAGAAATCAAGTAAAAGATCTTGAAAACCACGTCATTTAGATAAAAACCACGGCTAGCCAAGTTTACGCCGTTTCGCATGGTTTTTACTAAACGACCAAAAACGAAAGGTGGTTTTAGAAAAGTTTTTGTTGGAGAACTATTTAAATATGCCCAGAAGTAAAAACCAATCATAAAATGTTGAAAACCACTTGGTTGGTTCGGACGCCAAAAATCAACACCGATAACCGAATGCCAAACGCCGGTTTCGGGAAACCGAGCGCCAGATGGCTTGGTTTTTGGTTTGGGCGAACATCAAGTGTTTTACGCTTGTTTAAAACTTATGAAAAACATTTTTGAATATGCAAAAGTGTATTTTAGTGAAGAGAGCCAAGTTTTGGAAGTTTGTGCCGGTCTTGATCACATTAAGACCGACTTAATAAAATTCTAAGTCTTCGTTCTTGATTCTTGGTTCTTGGTTTTCAATTTGTCATGCCATGTTCCTTCGCCTTTGATTTACTCAGCTTGATTTTGTTATCATGATGGTTTGGCATGTTAGAAAAACGTCTCAACGCTAGAGGGGGGGTGAATAGCGTTTGAAACAAAAATGACGTATGAATAAAAAATTAAAAGCGTAAAGTAAAGAGCAAGGAAGAGGCACACCATTTTTACCCTGGTTCACCACAACTTGTGGCTAGTCCAGCCTCCCGAGAGACTCTCTCGAGCTACACTAACAATGTTAAGCTTAACAGTGCTTAACAAACCCGTACAACTTGAGAGTTCGAGTCACACGAACCTCAAAGAACCTAAGAAGGAAACAACCTTTCCTTCGAACTACTCAAGAGAAAAACTTTCTCTTATCAAGTGTCTAAGAACACTAAATCACTCAAGAACAATACTCTCTTTTAGAGTGGATAATGAGTAACTAAGAACGCTCAAGAACACAACTTGAACTTCACAAAAATGGCTCTCAAAAAGCTATGAACAATGTATGAATGATATGCAATGAAAGAATAAGAGTTGTGAAGTAATGTGATGTGTAAAGCAGACCCAAATACCCCATTTTATAGTGGAAAAATAGGCTCCAACGGATCAAAACATTTAAGGGGTGATTGGCACAATTTGTAAGATTTGATTAAAATTGGATCTGCTGAAAATCAGCCACACAGCGCTGTCAATGGCTTGGACATCGCTGTTCTAGGCTAAGGTTTTTGAAAATTGGGAAGCAACCGTCAAGCCAACAGCGATGTCCAAAACCCCTACATCGTTGTTTTGGCTGTTGACTTCCAAACAAGGAAGGTTTTGGCTCTGACATCGCTGTTGCTGGGTCAACAGCGCTATTCAAAAACTTTCTGCCAAGGCATTCCTTTTTTGCTTAGGTTGGACAGCGATGTAGGGAAGTCTACATCGCTGTACCAGATGTTTATAGAAACCCAACCTTGGCTCTACAGCGATGTCTAACATCCAACATCGCTGTTGGAAGACTTAGCGCCAAACCATGGTTTTCAGCTGCCCATGCTAGACATCGCTGTTGGTCACTCCAACATCGCTGTTGGGCTGCTTTAGCCAGACCCATGGTTGGTTTAGTCATGCCATTAGCCGATGTCAAACATCTAAGTTCTCCAAAGTAAAAACCAAGTATAGAAAACATTTTTTTAATGCATTTTGCTAAGAAATCAAGTAAAACATCTTGAAAACCACGTCATTTAGATAAAAACCACGGCTAGCCAAAATTACGTTGCTTCGCATGGTTTTTACTAAACGACCAAAAACGAAAGGTGGTTTTTGAAGTGTTTTTGTTGGAGAACTATTTAAATATGCCCAGAAGTAATAACCAATCATAAAAAGTTGAAAACCACTTGGTTGGTTCGGACGCCAAAAACCAACGCTGATAACCGAATGCCGAACGCCGGTTTCTGAAAACCGAACGCTGGATGGCTTGGTTTTTGGTTTGGGCGAACACCAAGTGTTTTAGGCTTGTTTAACCCTTATGAAAAACTTTTTGGAATATGAAAAAGAGTATTTTAATGAAGTTTTGGAAGTTTGTGCCGGTCTTGATCACATTAAGATCGACTCAATAAATTCTAAGTCTTCGTTCTTGGTTCTTGGTTCTTTGTTTTCAATTCGTCATGCCATGTTCCTTCGCCTTTGATTTGCACAGCTTAATCTAGTTATCACGACGGTTTGGCATTATCAAAACCTGTCATAAAACGAACACGGTTTAGTACAACATAGGCATAAACCCATGTTCCAACAATTTCCCCCTTTTGATAATTGCAAACAAGACGGGGATATGCATACTAAGGGATATTTGATTTTGAAAGAAAGGTGTGAAAAAGTTCCCCCTTAATTTGTTCTTAAAATAAGTAGTCGTTTTAAAATCAAACGTTCCCGTGTTTAGAGACGTTCCCCCTAAGTATATGCATAGCCCTTTTCTTCCCCCTTTTGACATTAACAAAAAGATAAAAGATTATTTTATTTATTGAATTGGGAAATAGCGGAGTACAACGGAAGCAAGTAATTAAAAAACATGACACTAAAAAAAGGAAAGAAATTCTAGGGGCGGCCTAGTCTTCGTCTTCGGTTTCCTCCTCGTCGTCGTCGACGTCCATCTCATCCCCGTCAATGGCATCGTGGAACTCATCCTCGTCCGGGGAGCTTGACGGGGCGTAGGAGCCATCCTCTTCGTCCTCGTCACCGTACACTTGCCCAAGGAACGTGCCTTCGTACGGTGGGGGGACGTAGTTCACTCGTTGGAAGTACGCGTTCATGGCGTGCCCTTAGCGTTGAACAGCCTAGTCGAGCCGTTCAAGGTACCCGTCCATCCCGTCGACTTTGAAGTGCAGCTGGTTGAGGGAGTCGGCGATGGAGGCTAGGTTGGCCCGGGCCTGGGGTTCGGCTGGGCCAGCAGCAATGCGGCGTGGCACGGCAGTGGCAAGCGCAGCGTTGTCCGACCGCTTGGTGAAGGTTTGGGCGCTGATCGTCCAAAGCTTCATGGCCTTCGTGAGCGGGCCAACGGTGGTGGTGACCTTGAACCGTTCAAGGATGTCCATCACAAAGAAGGGATACGGGAGGAGGTGATCGTGGTCGGTGGATGCGGCGATCGTCATGTAGATCATGACAAACTTCGCCCAATTAATTGGCGCCGAGTGCATGAGGTCCTCACCGGACATGATCGTGTGCCCATGCTTCCGGGGCTTGATGATCCGGGACACGATGTAGAGGAAGAGACGGCTCTCGGGGGTCGCGGAGTGGATGGTGGGGCGGCCCATGTGATGGCGGATGAGCTCGGTGATGCCAAGCTCGTCGAGGACAAGGCCTTCGTTGTTGAGGACCCAGTCTTCTCCAGCATAAGTGGAGATGTCATCGCCTTTGTAGGGAAGGCCGGCGATCCGCCCAAGCTGCTCAACGTTGAGCTCGATCGGCGTGCTCTTGACAAGGGAGTAGAGCACGTCGTCCTCACGCCGGAGGTTGGAGTAGAACACGCGAGACAGCGCCAGGTTGATCACATTCTGAGCCCGGGAGACGAACGGCCATAGGCCGGTTTGGTGAAGCTACCCGTCGAGGAAGTCATAGCCCCTTAACTCCGGGAAGCGCTCCGGGACAATCCACGGGGGAGCCACTACCCGCTTAGAGAAGAAGGTGAGAAATCGGGTGCGCTCCTCCTCGGAGTCGAACAAGAGATACGACCCGTCGCCGTAGTAGAGGCGTTCCTCGGAGGTCGTCGAAGGAGCCTGGGATTTGGACATGGATTTCCCGGAAGTTCATGCCCTGCTCTTGTCTTTGCCCATGGTGATGAAGAATTCTCAAGAAAAAGTTGTAGATCAGAGAAGATGAATTAAGCGAGGGGAATGAAGGAGATTGTGTTTAGATGTGAGAAAAAGGTGAGTAGGAGGCCAAATATATATAGGATTTGGTCTCCAACGTTCAAAAATTTGAAAAAAGTGGCAGTTGGAGCATTTAATGGAGTTGCCAACAAATTATTTTTTGAAAAATTTAACCTGAACAGCGATGTTCCAGAGGCGACATCGCTGTTGGGACAGTGCTGTTATGCCATTGTACAGCGCTGTTCTGCGTTAAGTTTTTAAAACCAGGTGTCAAAAGGACAGCGATGTTGGGTTCCCTACAGCGATGTTCCAAAACATTCTGGAATTGTGTAAGGGTTTGAACCCATTAGAATAGCGCTGTTAGGTTACCCTACATCGCTGTTTTACGATAAGGAAGAAAATTTGTAAAAATGGACAGCGATGTTGCTGAAATGTACATCGCTGTTGAAAAACATTCTGGTCTGGTTTGAAAACATGGTGTTTTTAAGATAACAGCGATGTAGAGGTACATTACATCGATGTTTAAAAAGTTTCAGGAAAGCAAAGAGTAAGAGGACTCCCTGTGACAGCAATGTTTGTGTATTTTACAGCGCTGTTGGCCGAAGTTGGTAGACGGTGTTCCCTTCTACAGCGTTGTTTGTCTTCTGGACAACACTGTAGGAACAGCGATGTTGTCCTTTTTATAGCGCTGTTTGCATGGTTCCCCCTGATTTTATGAACTGGGTACCTGCAAAAAAGAAAAAAATTCTCCGACGCTCAAGTTAGTAAACGTTTAACAAGTGACAATGCACAACTTAGATCATCGTGGAGTCAAGGATTCCGAGTTCACTTCGAATGCGGAAGAACGACTCTTTCTCTAAAGGTTTTGTGAAAATGTTGGCTAATTGGTTGTGTGTTTCAACGAACTCAATTTCGACATCACCTTTGAGAACATGATCTCTAATGAAATGATGCCTAATGTCAATGTGTTTCGTCCTTGAATGAAGAACAGGGTTCTTCGTCAAGCTTATGGCGCTAGTATTATCACAACGAAGAGGAACGTGATTGATACTAAGGCCATAGTCCACGAGTTATTGCTTCATCCAAAGGATTTGAGCACAACAACTACCGGCAGCTACGTATTCCGCTTCGGTTGTGGATAACGCAACACTGACTTGTTTCTTACTAAACCATGAGACTAGAGAGCTACCAAGTAAGTGGCAAGTCCCACTCGTACTTTTACGGTCCAATTTCCAACCGGCAAAGTCTGAGTTGGAATAACCAACGAGATGACAAGAAGAGCCTTTTGGATACCACAGTCCAACGTTAACCGTGCCAACAAGGTTAACAACGTTAACTCGGAATCCCTTCTCTATCAATGGTCAAAATCCGTTTCACCACCGTTAAGTGCGATTCCTTTGGACACGATTGATACCTTGCGCAAAGGCATATGCTAAACATGATATCCGGCCTACAAGCGGTAAGATAGAGAAGGGATCCGATCATACCTCGATACCTTTTGACTTTTACTTCCTTACCTTTCTCGTCTTTGTCAAGATGGTTGGATGTGCTCATCGGGGTCGCCATGGCTTTGGCGTTGTCCATTTCGAACCGTTTTAGGAGTTATTTGCAGTACTTAGTTTGGAAAATGAATGTGCCATCTCTCATTTGCTTCACTTGAAGTCCCAAAAAGAACGTGAGCTCACCCATCATTGACATCTCGAATTCGCTAGTCATTAGTTTGGAGAATTCCTTGCACATAGACTCGTTAGTAGCACCGAATATAATATCGTCTACATAAACTTGAACCAAAAGGATGTTATTGTTTTTACTCTTGATAAAAAGTGTAGTGTCAACCTTTCCCCTTTGGAATCCACTATCCAAAAGAAATTTACTCAAACGTTTGTACCAAGAACGGGGTGCTTGTTTAAGACCGTAGAGTGCTTTTTTGAGTTTGAAGACATGGTCGGGATACTCAAAGTCTTCAAACCCCGGGGGCTGGTCAACGTACACTTCCTCTTGAGTAAAACCATTGAGGAAGTTATTCTTAACATCCATTTGATAAAGTTTATAATCCATAGACGAACCAAAAGCAAGAAGTAAACGTATAGCTTCTAAACGTGCTACGAGTGAATAGGTTTCTTCAAAATCAATGCCTTCTTCTTGATTGTAGCCTTTAGCTACGAGCCTAGCTTTTTTTCTAGTGATTATTCCACTTTCATCAAGTTTATTATGGAACACCCATTTCATACCAATAATCGTACGATCATCGGGCCTTGGCATCAATTCCCAAACGTCATTCCGTTTGAATTGGTTTAGCTCCTCTTGCATAGCCAAGGTCCAATGTTCATCGTTTATTGCTTCGGAAATGGTTGTAGGTTCAATTTGAGAAACGAAAGCCATGTGTCCTACGGTGTCCCTAAGGGAGTTACGAGTACTAACCCCGTGGTTGATGCTGCCGATTACCTGGTCAAGTGGATGGTTCTTGTTCGTTCTCCAAGCGACAGGAAGCTTGGTTTCCTCTTGTTCCTGGGCTTCCTCATGTTCTTCTTTTTCCGCTTGATCTTATTCATTTTCGACCATCACTTGAGGTGTTTCCTCAGTTTGTGGTTGCGGGTTGGTGTATATTGGCGTGTCTTCTTCATCGTCTTCAACGTGTATGTTTTTGAGTGAATCTGCAAGATCATCACAAATAGCCTTTCTCGCCAAGCGAGTATTATCTTCGGAAAACACAACATGAGGGGACTCCTCAATGGTCAAAATACGTTTGTTAAACACTCTATAGGCCTTGCTACGAAGTGAGTAACCAAGAAAAATCCCTTCGTCCGACTTGCATCAAATTTTCCCAAGTTTTCTTTGCCGTTATTATGGGAAAGGTTTGGCTTTCTCCCTTTGTATAATTCATAAGGCGTTTTCATGAGTATCGGTCGAATAACGGCTCGGTTTAACACATAGCTCGCGGTACTCACGTCATTCGCCCAAAAATACTTAGGGATTTTTTCCTCATTGATCATAGTTCTAGCCATCTCTTCGAGACATCTATTTTTACGTTCCACCACTCCATTTTGTTGTGGTGTACGTGGGGTTGAGAAATTATGATCAATGCCAAGTTTGTCACACAAATCCGAAAATAGATTTCGTTCGAACTCTCCCGCATGATCACTTCTTATGGCTACTATAGTTGTTTCTTTTTCATTTTGAACTTTCTTTAGGAAATTTTTGAAAACGTGAAATGCCTCACTTTTATGAGTAAGAAACAAGGTCCATGTAAACCTAGAGTAGTCATCGACAATCACACATGCAAAGTAATTACCACTGAAACTTTTCGTTCTAGAAGGACCAAAGAGATCCATGTGCAAAAGTTGAAGTGGTCTAGACGTTGAAACAATGTTTTTAGACATAAACGAGGCCCGAACTTGCTTCCCCTTTTGGCATGCATCACAAATGGTGTCTTTTTCAAACTTAAGTTTTGGAATGCCAATTACTAAGTTTTGTGAAACCAATTTGTTCAAAAGGTTCATGTTCATATGAGCTACCCTTCGGTGCCATAACCAAGTGTCTTCCTCTTTACTCATGAGGCACTTAGCAAAGCCGGAAGGTGATTTGTCTAAGTTAACCATGTAAATGTTATCGATTCTATCACCACGTAGTATCATTTGGGGATTTAGACGTCTGCCCCTGATTGGGACTAATTTGGTCCAAGTCAGGGTACACTTTTTGGTCTAACTTTCTCCGAATTGATTTCTTTTTGCATCGTTGCGATCAGACAGTCGAGCTTTATTCAACGATATAATTTATATATTTATTTGTAATACTTTTTCTGACATCATAATTTTTGGTGTTTGACTTTGACAGAGTCAAAATTGTTAGAATAAGTGACCAACGCTAGAGGGGGGTGAATATCGTTTGATCATAGAAGTCGCAGGAATAACAAAAATTAAGAACGTGAAAAGTAAAAAGCGTAGAAAAAGTAAAGGGAGCACACCAAGATTTATACTGGTTTACCATAACGTGTGGCTAATCTAGTCTCCTGAGAGACTCTCTCGAGCTACACTACTTCCGTTAAGCTTACGGGTGCTTAACAAACCGTTACAACTTGAGAACTCGAGTCCCACGGGCCTCAACAACACTTGCTCAGAGATACCACACTCCAAGACTTCAACCCGAAGGAAAAACACCTTTCCTTCGTACAACCAAGGGAAACAAACTTCCCTTAACGTCTATAAACACTAAGAACACTCAAGAACAAGGCTCTCTCAAAAGAGTGAATATGAGTAAAGTAATATGCTCAAGATCACAACACGAACTTCAAAAAAATGGCTCTCGAAATGCTATGAATAATGTGTGAATGTAATGCAATGAAGAATAAGAATTGTGAAGTAATGTGATATGTAAATCAGACCCAAACACCCCATTTTATAGTAGAAAAATAGGCTCCAACGGGTAGGAGTTGAATGGGGGTGATTGGCACAATTTGTGGGATTTGATCAAAATTGGATCTGCTAAAATTCATCTAGACAGCGTTGTCCATGGCTTGGACATCGCTGTTCCAGGCTTAGTTTTTGAAAATTGGGAAGCAATGGTCAAGCCAACAACGATGTCCAAACACCCTACATCGCTGTTTTGAGTGTTGACTTCCAAACAAGGAAAGTTTTAGCCATAAATTCCTTCCAACGGTCAGGTGCCTACATCGATGTTCATTACTTGAACATCGCTGTTCAGGCCTGACTTTGAAGGTTGAGGAATTGGCCTGACATCGCTCTTGCTGGGTCAGCAGCGCTGTCCAAAAACTTTCTGCCAAGGCATTTCTTTTTGGCTTAGGTTGGACAGCGATGTAGGGAAGTATACATCGCAGTTCTAGATGTTTCTGGAAAACCAACCTTGGCTCAACAGCGATGTCTAACAACCAACATCGTTGTTGGAAGACTTAACGCCAAACCATGGTTTTCAGCTGCTCATGCCGGACAGCGCTGTTGGTTACTCCAACATCGCTGTTGGGCTGGTTTAGCCAGACCCATGGTTGGTTATTCATGCCGTTAGCCGATGTCAAAAATCTAAGTGTTCCAAAGTAAAAACCAAGTATTGAAAACATTTGTTTAATGCATTTTTCTAAGAAATCAAATAAAACATCTTGAAAACCACGTTGTTTAGACAAAAACCATGGCTAGCCAAGTTTACGCCATTTCGCATGGTTTTTACTAAACGACTAAAAACGAAAGGTGGTTTTAGA